GGTGGGGAGGCCAGGGAAAAGGGGTCTGGAGGAATGGGGGGACATAGGACACCGCTGTGGGCAGCCCTGAGGTCCAGACCTGAAGCCCCCTTCGCCCTCGCAGCAGGAAAAGGGAGTTTGGCCTGGGAGGGATCTGGTCCACCCCGGGCCAGCCCTGCCTCGAGCTGCTCCCTGTCCCCCCGCCGCCCCCCCTCCCCTGTGGGGCCTCTGCTTTTCTTGTCTCTGGAGGACCAAGGCCAGGTCTGGTTTCCATCACGTTCAGGCCCCTCCCTCCAGGCCTAGGGAACCACCTGGAACTTGAGAGAAGATCTAGGAGAAATGGGAGAGGCCAGGGGTGGGGACAGATGCAGAGGCCTTGGGGTTCTTTGCTGTGGAGACCTCTGTCTGAGGACAGGGTGAGCACCAGTTCTCTGTCCTGGGCTCTTACAAGGGCCCTCGGAGCCTGCAGGGTGGGGCTTGGGCTCCGCCCACAGTGAAGAGCTTGGAGCTCTGTCCTGAACACATGTAGGAGAAGCCAGTGAGGGGGCCCCCATTCTGGTCTCCCCACAGCACTGCCCAGTGTCCACCATGGGCATGGCGCTGGGTGCTGGGACATAGATCAGGCCACAGACACGGAGGGAGGGCTAGAGATACACAGTGCACTTTTTAAGTTGTGACCTATGATAGGAAATACATTTTTGTTGTTTGTTCATTTTTACCGGAGGATAGTTTTCTATTTATTTTTTTCTATTGATTTTTTTTAAGAGAGTGGAAGGGAGGGAGATAGACACAGAGAGAGAAAAACGTTGATGTGAGAGAGACACATGGATTGGTGATCAAGCCTGCAGCCCAGGTACGTGCCCTTGACTGGAATCAAACCCCGGACCTGAATCGAACCTGGGCCCGATGCTCTATCCACTGAGCCAAACCAGCTAGGGCTAGGAAATACGTTTTAAGATGAGTCCTCACGTTCTCTCATACACATGCACAATGGAGAGAAAAGTTTCTGGAAGCCATTCTTACCCTACTGTGAGCGATCACTTCTGCTATGTTCATCCTGTTCTGTTCCATTTAAAAACGCCGGACCTGAATTGAACCTGGGCCCAATGCTCTATCCACTGAGCCAAACCAGCTAGGGCTAGGAAATACGTTTTAAGATGAGTCCTCACGTTCTCTCATACACATGCACAATGGAGAGAAAAGTTTCTGGAACCCATCCTTACCCTACTGTGAGCGATCACTTCTGCTATGTTCATCCTGTTCTGTTCCATTTAAAAACGATGCAAATCACCGCACAGCACAATGACTAACGCGTCATGACCTGGATGCAGGTAGCTTAATGGGGTGACCATGCCCCTCAGGTCACGGGACCTGAGATTGGGGGTGACAGGGAATCCTGAACTTCACTTCCCACCCCCACAAAATAGGTACCCACTGACCTGACATGAAAGAGGTGTAAGGTGCCCGGCTCCTAATAGATGCCCAACAGACTTCCCTTCTTTGAGGCAGAATGCCGTGAGTGGGGGATACGGACAGGGGTAACCCCCTCGCCCCCACCCCCCCACTTCTCTGCATCTGGTTTGCATATCATAGAGGCTATCTTCCTTGACACCATGTGGAGTTTCCCTGGGCACAGGTCTCAGAGACACTCTCCCCAGGCTCTCCTGCCTGCACTCCCCTGCTCATCACCTCCCCGCTAACCCCCCACTCCTGGCTCCGCCTCCTGGGCAGGACTGATGCCAAGGCCTCCCAGAGAGCAGGCCCGTGGGCAGATGAGGGGCTTGTCTCCAGGTGGCAGGGGCACACTCATTTGCTCCCCTTTCTCTGAAAAGAAAGTGGTGGGCAGTGCCAGTGTGTTTAACTGCCAACCTTCTGCCTTTCAGATTCTTGGTGCCACCATAGAGAACTCCAAGGTTGTCCTGCAGATCGACAATGCCCGTCTGGCTGCGGATGACTTCCGAACCAAGTGAGCATCTCTGCCCTGCTGGGCTGCAGAAGCCGGG